AACGAGGAACTCAAAGCAGCAGCGAAAGGGTTGAAAGCGAATAAAGCTCCCGGTCCGGATGGAATTCCCAACGTGGCGTTGAAGGCGGCGATCCAGACGTTCCCGGACATGTTCAGGATGGTGCTGCAGAAATGTCTGGACGATGGTCAGTTCCCTGATAGGTGGAAGGTACAAAAGCTTGTGCTGTTGCCGAAGCCCGGAAAACCGCCGGGGGATCCTGCATCGTATAGGCCAATATGCTTGCTGGATACTGTAGGAAAACTCTTAGAGAGGATCATCCTCAACAGGCTGACGAAATGCACGGAGAGTGAACACGGATTGTCGGAGAGACAGTTTGGATTCCGGAAAGGGAGATCGACGGTGGATGCAATTCGGACAGTGATTGACAGAGCCGAGAAAGCTTCCAAACAGAAGCGGAGAGGAAATCGATACTGCGCCGTGATTACGATTGATGTGAAGAATGCATTTAATAGCGCCAGCTGGGAGGCCATCGCCAAGGCGCTCCATAGAATGAGGGTTCCAGGCTACCTCTGCAGGATTCTAAGTAGTTACTTGCAGAACCGGGTCCTGGTCTACGTGACAGACACGGGGCAGAAATCGCTTAGAATCACGGCGGGGGTTCCCCAAGGCTCCATTCTAGGTCCCACGCTGTGGAACGGAATGTACAATGGCGTGCTGACGCTCAAGCTGCCCAAAGGAGTTGAGATCGTTGGCTTTGCGGACGATGTCGTCTTGACGGTAACCGGTGAGACGCTGGAAGAAGTGGAAATGTTGGCGGCCGAGGCGATAGATACGATTGGTAACTGGATGCAAGGAGCGAAGCTGCAGATAGCCCACCACAAAACAGAAGTGATGTTGGTCAGTAACTGCAAAGCAGTGCAGCGGGCAGAAATTACCGTTGGAGAGCACACCATTGCTTCGAAGCGCATGCTTAAGTATCTGGGAGTGATGATCGACGACCGGCTAAACTTTAATAGCCACATCGAATATGCTTGCGAGAAGGCAACGAAGGTCATCAACGCAATAGCCAGAATCATGCCGAACAATTCTGGTCCAAGCAGCAGCAAGAGACGTCTTCTGGCTAGTGTGTCCTCATCAATACTAAGGTACGGAGGTCCAGCCTAGATTGAAGCGCTGAAAACGAAGCAGAACCAAAGGAAATTGAGCAGTACGTTGAGGCTCATGGCCATGCGAGTCGTGAGTGCGTACAGAACCATTTCGATGGAGGCAGTATGCGTTATCGCCGGTATGATCCCAATCGGCATCACCTTGGCGGAGGACTACGAGTGCTATATGACGAGAGAAACCAGAGGAGTACGAAAAATGGTGAGAACGGAGTCGATGGCTAAGTGGCAACAGGAGTGGGATGCAGCAGAGAACGGTAGATGGACACACAGGCTAATACCGACTCTTTCGACCTGGGTGAACAGGAAGCATGGAGAAGTCAACTTCCACTTGACGCAGTTCCTGTCTGGTCATGGCTGCTTCAGGAAGTACCTGCATCGGTTCGGACACACAACGTCACCCTTCTGTCCGGAGTGTGGGAATGTGGAAGAATCACCAGAGCACGTGGTCTTCGAATGTCCTAGATTTGATGATGTGCGAGAGGATATGCTCGCCCTTAGCACGGAGAATGTCGTCAAATAAATGTGTCGAGAGGAGGGCACCTTTAACGCCGTCAGCAGAGCAGTAACGCAGATCATATCAGCGCTGCAGCGAAAATGGCGGGAAGACCAACTAGAAAGTAGTAATGTGCTCACACAAGTGCGAACTGAAAGCCGAAGCCGGGAGAACTCTCCGTCAGAGTAGGCTGTATCCACCACCAGGGATGACCGAGTAGAACGTGACGCTGGGAGCTAAATGGCTCACAAATTGGAGAGACTGGAAGCGCCAATTAGCTGAGGTAAAGTGAGGTGCGTAATGCACGGCCCCCTCCGAAGTAATACGAGAAGTGGTTCCGGGGGAAAAGGGCAAGGCGTCCAAGGAGGTTTTAGTGCGGTAAGAATCCCACACACCGTGTCACCGCGACTGTGCGCCCAGTCGTCAAGCGGTGGCACGATGGCCTTTTTGAAGGTTTCCTTCTAGCCAAAAAAAAAAAAAAAAAAAGTATAAACGGTGACTTACCTTTAATGATGAAATAACTTACCTAACTGATAACCATCTTCCTTGTTGTCTTTTGTTGGCCTTCTTGTAAATATTTGGCTTAAGGTCTCCTATCCTCTGATGGGACTGCCATCTTAAGTGTACACGGTAAAAAAAACCCGAATTTATCCACCTATGGTGTGATCAGACCCTTCTTACTTATTCAAGTTTATTTATTTTATTGTAATTATCAGTGACCAAGCCCCCCACCCCCGTGTCATCCAGTGACGCTACGCCACTGCCTGGGGGTACCCGGAATATATCCGGGTGTAGTCTATTTGGTAAGGCTACCAATCACCTTATCATCGTATTTTAATGTGATTTAATGGGTTTTAATTCAATTCATATTCAAGCAACTTCCCCGGGGTACCCGGAACATGTCCAAGTGTGTCCAATGTGGTCTGGAACACTTAACACGACTTGCATTGATCTTATTTTTGAATTCTGTAGTAATTTGATGTGTCGCATGATGGTTTTGATACGTTTTCCGTTAAATCCAGCGTGAAGGCCCATATTCACCGGATCTTATATCGGCCATATCTCCGGAACCAGTTCACCGATTCCAAAACCGTTCAATAGCGTTCAATGGGACCCCAAGACCTATCATTTGGCGCCGAGTTTGTCCAAATCGGTTGAGCGGTTGCTGAGAAACGTGAGCGCATTCATTTCGTTACATACACACACACACACATACATACACACATACAAACATACACACACACACACACACAGACATGTTCCGATCTCGTCGAGCTGAGTCGACACTCGGCCCTCCGGGCCTCGGATCGATAGTCGGTTTTTCAAGTGATATCTATACCCTTCTTTGTAAAAAGGGTAAAAACATCATGTTCATTTAAAGTAATTTGGTGCTGAATTTGGAAATAGAGAATCTTTGCGAGTAATGTTTGGCACGTGCGTTTTTGACATTTGCTTCCAAAAGTAAAACTAATCAAATTCAACTGATGAAAACAGTGGTTCCAATTCAAATGATAATCATTTTGATCTAAAGGTGTTATACAATACATATTTTTCAACGACAAACCACTTTGTTTCAAAAAGCAAATCACTTGAAAATCAATGATAAATCACTTCGATTCGTAGTGCCGCATGATAGACTGAGTCAAGTGCAAGAGCATTTGGATTAGATGTGACAACTTTTTACCGTGTAGCTTCCGGGGAAGAGCATTTCTTATTCAGCCGCTGGATGCCAGTCAGACAAATCGAAGATTTAAACACGATGCTTCACAATCCAATAAATGGATGAAACGTGGACATCTCGTACCGTACGTTCCGATTTTGGTAATTATTGGTTGGTTGTTGGAAGCATCAAAGCTAGAAAGGTTAAGTGATGTTCCATTTTCTTCTGACGGTTGGGACATGAGCACTAACTCTTGTCCTAGCCTTTTATGGCTTATGGCTATGCGCTCGCTTTCTGAAAAGAGAAGTGAAGTAAACTCTATGAACATAAACAATATTTTTGATTTGAAATATACAATATAGAAATGCATAACGGTGGTGGTCACTACCCGAGTCTGGCCACTATTATCAAGTCATAAAAAGTAACCAGCACTAAAATGTAATCCTTTGATTACTGGAAAATCCTGATTCCCTAGTTTGAAGTTGTCACGACTAGGGTTCGGTGGTAGATCTTATACCAGTAACACACCACAAAAAGATCATCTTCCAACGTTACTAGTTTGAAAAGATAAAAATTTACAAAATGGAACAAACTCACCAAGTTCAGCCAATTGAACCTGAAGGCTGCCTGACATGTGTTGATGTAGAAGTTCAAATTGTAAATGTCTTCCGTCGATTTGAGATAAACAAATGTTCGGATGTATGTAGTCGATCTTTGATGTGCATTGGCAAGTCTTTTCGTGGCCAATAGTCAGGTTCAACGCTGCGATTTAACGAATGATGGGACGCCTCGTGGAGGTTCTACTTGGCTTCGGAACAGCTTCTCAGCGGCAAATAATAGGGACTGAGGAACTAGAAATTGTGTCCTGGGCCTGGTTTTGGCCAGATCAGCAACCATTTATAGATTAAAAAGCGCCCCGAAAAAAAACAAACGTCAGGTTCGATCACACGCACAGCCTACCCCTCTTACAAGATGACATATAAGATGTCTTCCTTTTCATTGAAGAAGCACTGAGTGGGTCATACATTATTGTTCCAAATTCCTCAAATACCGCAGTGCATATTTTTTTCTTTACCGAAATGGACATGACTATCAAAGTCACTCCATCGATGAATGAATGGAAAATGACTAGTCATTATGCACTCCATTAAAGTAAAAACGTTGACAAGGACAAAGAACGCAACAAACGAAAACAGAAATGCAATAAATAGATATGGGACTGCATTACACTGCATTGATAAGAGCCGTCCCACGAGCATTGAAAATGTGTCCCATAGTTCTCTGTTTTCTCTTTTACTTGTGCGTATTTGAATGACATATAGTAGCAACGTGCATGTGCTTCTCGTAGGAATGCGCATATGTCACATTGAGCGTGAAAGCGCTTTTCCTTGTCCGTACTCGATATCTCCTACAGGGCAGACGCACTTCCATTCAAAAGGGTCCAATCTGAATGCCTCTGTCTGGCGTAACATAATTTGCGGTCGCTCTGAGATGAATCACCGTTTGGCACAATCATGAAATGCGATATCGCATTGCCAGTGCAATCTGCTTCCAGTTGACCCAGTCCCGTTTCGTTGTGCGGATCGTAGTTCATAACTTTCTCTCTCTCTCTCTCTGCCTTTGTTTCGTTGTTTATTTCATATTTTCGGGGGCGGTGCCATCTTCCTAACTTCGATGTCCCAACATCGCAATCGGCATAATGCTCGGTCACGCCATCAAGACGGCCACGAGTGTCAACCGATCCACACGATCAAGGACCTGTTGGAGTTTGAGCACAATCCCGTTAGCTGGCGCAATTTAGTGCTCCCGATCACACCCCGATCCCGATCGAGGTACCTCGGAGAGCAGTACCAGGAGATCAACTTCGACGCCGGAGTGACGGACTTTGTGGAAGACCAAAGCCGACCGCAGGTATTGCTGTGCCATGACTTCAAGGGAAACTACCTGATCGATCGGTTCATTAACGGGACGATCGGACAGGAATGGGTGGACTATCGGTTCTACAACTGGTCTGCGGTGGACATATTCTGCTACTTCAGCCACAACTTCGTTACCATTCCGACGCTGCAGTGGTTGAATTGTGCGCACAAAAATGGCGTCAAGGTAATCGGGACGTTCATTGTGGAAGGCGGCAATGTGACGTTACTCAAGGACATTCTACAGTCGGAAGAATTCATGCGGAAGGTGGCGGATGCGTTGGTCACCGTGGCGAAGATTTGTCAGTTTCAGGTAAAACGTGTTTCAGCTTGTGTCGTAACCTAGATTCTAATTCTAATCGCTTCCCACAGGGCTGGCTACTGAATATCGAGTGCGCTCTGGACGAAGACAATATTCCGCTTCTGAAGGAATTTGTAGCGTACCTCACCCGGAAATCGCACGAAAGGATCCCGGGCAGTATGATCATCTGGTACGACTCCATCACCGAGAAGGGTCTCCTCAGCTGGCAGAACGAGCTGAACAGTCTGAACCACGGTTTCTTCGCCGCGTGCGATGGGATCTTCCTGAACTACACCTGGAACCGGCAGCATCTGGAGCGATCGGAGAACTTCATCCGTAATTACTATCCACGACGGAAGTTGGACGTTTTTGTCGGGATCGACGTATTTGGGCGAGGTCAAACCGCCAAGCTCGATACCCACTCGACGCTGGCCATGATCATGGAGTTCAAGTTCTCCACGGCGATCTTTGCTCCCGGATGGACGTTCGAATCGCTCGAGGAATCCATGCGGCAGGACCAACTCGATCCAGATAATTGCAATGTTCGATTTTTGAAGCTGAACGATCGCTTCTGGAATCTGCTGTGGAAGTATCTGTTCGTCCGTGGACCCCGGGAACTGCCCTTCTATACATCTTTCTGCCTGGGCTCAGGGAAGATACGGCATCGGTTGGGAAAACTGCAGAACCACTCGTGGTTCAATCTATCGCGGCAGGGATTCCAACCGACCATTCCGTATGCAATGCTGGATAGCGCGAGTCCTGTCTATTGGACGCACAGTTTCGAGACGGCTTTGGATGGCGGATCGTGCTTGCGGGTGGAAGATGCGCATCCAAACTGTCGCTTGTTTGCGTGCGATTTCGCTTGTAGTGGAGATTTGGTGGTGGCCTATGCATTTCAGAGAAATAATGAAGTCAGTGCGTCCGACGTGAGTCTGTTGCTGAAGGTGTACAATACGAGATATCACGATTCGGTGAAGGTCGTGTGTGGCGGTGAAGATTGCCATCTTAGTGAGCGAAGCAACGAGATGAAGGCGCTGCTGTTGGGTCCGGAAGATTTTCCAACGCTGCTGGAGTTGGGTGGGCAGCTGAAGCTGCCGCTGGTGGCCGGTATCAATGGGTGGGAGATAAGGTGAGTAGATTTGGCAAAGTATCTCCTATCAGACTCGTATGGAATTCTGAGGAAAAATATTTAATAATTCCATCTGTTTCTAAAGGACACTCTCCTTTGTCATAACTCTCTTTACAGAGCAGCTCCAGGCCAAATAGCAAAACATAAATCGCTGTTGAACTTCTCCGATTTACATGAAACTTTGCCTAATTGTTTGTTGTGGTCAATAATTCTATTTGTTTAATAAAATTCTGCCATTTTGAATCACGCAAAAAATTTCAAAATGGCGTATCTCGCAAATGCTACTTTCAATCGAAATGACGCGTGAGACGAAGTTGTACACAGCCAATGAGAATGACCCAACATTGAGTTTATTTTACTCATAAATCACATAAAGTGCAGGATCTCAGCGATGAGTAAATTTGCCTGAGAGCAATGATTTGTTGAAAAATCTCGAATATGTTATTTTGAATAGTTTTGCAAGATTTAAAATGGCTGAATTTCAGTAAAAATGTGAATGATTGAACATTGCAACAATTATGCAAAGTTTCATCAAAATAGGAGAAGGTCGCATCAGATCGATTCGTCATTTGGCGTGGAACTGATCTACACTGTAAAATACAATTTAGAATGTATATGGTGATTGACAGTACAATTCCAAAAGGAATTTTTAGAACAATTTTGAGGGAATTTCGGCATTTTAAGGAAGGAAAATTTTAAGGCAATTTCAGAAGAATTTAGCGGAGAACTCCGAGACAATTCTGAGCAACATTTCAAGACAATTCTGATGTAAATTGCTTGGGAATTCTAAAGGGAATTAAAGCGAATTTTAAATAAAATTATGGAGGGAAGCTTCAGTGAATTCCTAGAAAAAAGTTTTAAAATTTTAAATTGTTTAGGAACTCCCAGAGAGAATTTCAAACTTATTTTAGAAGAATTCTGAAATAAACTCTGTGGAGGGCAATGATTTCAACGGAATATGGTTGAGGGTATTCTAATAAAATCTAATAAGAGTTTTGAGTAAATTTTCAAGATGGACACATTTTAAAGAATTCAATCGCAGTACACAATTTGAGCCAGGAATAATGCTGTTGTCTTAGTAATGGCCCATTTAACCTAGTAATCCCTTCGGCTTTAGATTGTATGCTTAATTTTAGTGTATGTTGCACAACCGGGAAAATTCCAAAATTCCGGGAAAACATCGGGAAATCGCTAATCGGAATTCACTAGTCACCATGTCGCCATGCTGTTTGATTTCAAAATTCCATGAATTCTCAGATAGTTGGGTTCTAATATTGAATTTTGTCACTCATAAGTATTTGTAATACGCAATGTTACATTGAAAAATGTCCATTGATGCATAATTTCTGGAGTTCAAATTTAAAATTTTCATTGACTCATTCATGAATAAAATCGCCATGTTTTTTTTTATCTAGTTCGTTTATTTGGAAGGCTCAATCGCGTTAGCTTTACGGAGCCGATAATTCATTGTTCACTGTGTGTAACAAAATTCACTTAATTCTATGTCTAGTAGGAGTTGGGCCGATTACTCGCGGCTTACTCGAGGTTAGAAGGGTACATTTTCGAAGGATAGGATCAGGGGAGGAGCTTGGGGTAGGGTTTCGTTGTCTCATCAGAGCGTTGTCGCCAGTATGAACGGTAGTGCTGTTCTAGCTTCGTCCGGAGTTCGACCGGCTATGGTGGGTGACCAGTGGGCGACGATGAGACTAATCGAGACGGGGGGACAAGACAAACAAAAACTAATAAAGAGAGACAAAAGACAAAAGGAATTAAATTCTTATACTAGACATTTGAAGAAAAACATAAACGGACTGCATATAGCAGAGATCACGGGTTGCCAACACGTCTCTGATAGGAACATAGGGTTGTCTTCCTTGGGCCTCGAGGGTATTCAAAAGTCGCTCTCTGGCGGCGTCATTATCGAAATCGCCATGTTGTACTTCAAAATCATAAAACCGCTGATTGTGACTCTCTGAAAGCGAAAATGTATGTGTCCAACCATACTGAACAACCTGTTCCTGTAACTTACTACAGTCAACACTCCCTAAATCGATAATGAAGAGACCAGTGAGTAAGGGAGCGTATCGAGTTACGGAGGTAAATTTTGAAAAGGTTTATGGGAAAAGGAGCTGGTTTTGTTGCGAGCTAGGACAATGGTGCTCGTGTCCATTTTTTTTCAATAGCTTTTTCTTTGATTGATGGTCATACAGTCAGAAATCCTTATTGCCGGGGTAACGGGGGCGTGAAAAAGGAACCGCGAATAAGGATACCCACAGCTTATGGGATTTTCACTAATGGGGGCTGTAGTGGATTATCTCATTTGTTTCTATACATAAAGCTATACTGTCTTCGACAAAGTTGCTGTACTGGGTTAGACCAACAAGTCTGTGCCATTGGATTCAGGTTTAATTGGGAACTACGCCGCTAGAGGCGCTTCACTTTTAAGTTACTTATGACGGGCGCTATAATATATGGATCATATTTCCAACATAGAATATTTCGTGATCCTGACCATATAGAAAGTTACTGTCTTGAGCAATGTTGTTCAGGTGACCAAGTCCTTTCGGATGGTGGCCATATTAGTTCAGAACTCTCTCACTACGCAGCGCTAGTGTGCATATGCAATTCCTATATAAACTGTATCTCGAGAGCCTGGCCATATAGTAAGTTGCTATTTTGAGCAAAGTTGTGCAGGTGATCACGTCCTTTCGGATGATGTTCATATTAATTCAGAACACGCTCACTACGCGGCGCTAGTGTGCAAGTGAATTTCCTGTATAAGCTGTATCTCGAGAACCTGGCCATATAGAAGGTTACTGTCTTCAGCAAAGTTGTCCTTTCGGATGATGGTCATATTATTTTTGAACTCTCACACTACGCGACGCTAGTGTGCACATGAACTTCCTTAATATGTTATGTCTCCAAAGCTTGTCCATATAAGATGTTGCTGTGCAATGTGAGAACAGGAACCGGAAAAAGGATGACGTGTAGAGGCCGGAAATCGATGTCAGATGGCATTTTGGAATCCAAGATGGCGGCCATCGGTTCAAGAAAAACTGTCAAATACCCTACAATATGGATATTTTTGGAAAGGGAGTGACGTGTAGAGGCCGGAAATCGATGTCAGACGCCATTTTGGTATCCAAGATGGTTGCCATCGGTTCACGAAAAACTGTCAAATACCCTACAACATGGGTATTTTCGGATAGGAGATAACATGTAGAGACCGGAAATCGATGTCAGATGCCATTTTGTAATCCAAGATGGCGGTCATCGGGTCAAGAAAAACTGTCAAATACTCTACAATATGAGTATTTCCGAAAAGGGACGACTTTTAGAGGCCAGATATACATTCCAGACGCTATTTTGGAATCCAATATGGCGGCAACATGTTTTCCATATATAAGGCTTACCAAGCATATTGCGTATAATTTATTGTGTATAGCGTATCATTGAGCAACATCGTAACGTAACGTGGAAAATTCCTCAAAACAATAAAACGCTTTGAATTGTTTTGTTTTTTTCTATCGTAAACTACAGATTTATTCCACATTTTATTTCCTCTTTCGATAACAAAGAACCAACCAGCGCTGTCATGTTTTATGCATTCTAGTCACTCTCGTTCTTCCACTCCGTGAGAAGGGTCTCGACTTCCCTTAGCAAATCTTGCATTTTTGCTCTCCGTTCAACATTGCTGTCCAATGTGCAGAAACTTTCGACCTCGGAGAGTTGATTTAGTTTTAACTCGATTTCTGCCGCACCAGGTGGTGGATGAAAATATCATCCATATTCACTGTAGAGGGGTCCAGGAATTAATCAGCAGTTTACGATAGAAAAAAAAAACAAAACAATTAAAAGCGTTTTATCAAATATATTATATTAACAATATGATCCATTCATGCCTTTTCATGCAATGGCGACCCGCAAAATACTGCTTCACGCACCATCTAGCGTTGAAAAAGGTCAGCAACAATCATTCAGTTACAATCGAGGGGTGCGAGTATAGCACTTATTACACAAGTAAGAGTCAAATTATTTTCATTAACTACATTGTGTATATTACTTTAAAATTTGTCTGACATGTCACTGTTGTCATCAAATAAAATAAAATGCTGAAATACATTCATTTGAAATATTAAACAAATTTACGCCTCGTGACGATAAACAAATACATTGGTAGCCTTTTTGGCCACAGAGGTGCTTTCATCGCTAAAAATTCGGTTCGCCAGCTAAGCGAAAGAGTGGATCATATTGTTAATATAATATATTTTGTTTTTTTTTTTGTTTTGAGGAATTTTCCACGTTACGTTGCGATCTTGCTCAGTGATACGCTATACACAATAAATTATACGCAATATTCTTGGTAAGCCTTATTTACGGAAAACATGTTTTTTTTAACTAGTTCGCGTTAGCTTTACGGAGCCGATAGTTCATTGTGCTTTGTTTGTAACAACATTCACTTAATTCTATGTCTAGTAGGAGTTGGGCCGAATACTCGCGGCTTACTCGAGGTTAGAGGGGTACATTGTCGAAGGATAGGAAAAGGGGAGGAGCTTGGGGGTAAGGTTTCGTTGTCTCATCAGAGTGTTGTCACCAGTATGAACGGTAGTGCGGTTCTAGTTTCGTTTGGAGTTCGACCGGATATGGTGACGATGGAAAACATGTTGCCGCCATATTGGATTCCAAAATAGCGTCTGGAATCTATATCTGGCCTCTACAAGTCGTCCCTTTTCCGAAATTCCCACATTTTAGGGTATTTGACAGTTTTTCTTGAACCGATGGTCGCCATCTTGGATTTAAAAATGGCATCTGGCATCGATTTCCGGCCTCTACACGTCGTTTTATTTCCGGAAATACTCATATAATAGGGTATTTGACAGTTTTTCTTGACCCGATGGCCACCATCTTGGATCGCAAAGTGTCGTCTGGCATCGATTTCCGGCCTCTACACGTGTCTCCTTGCAAAAATATCCATATTGTAGGGTATTTGACAGTTTTTC